ACAATAGTCCGTTAGAACCCTATCGGAATAACGTATCCAATTCATTATCCCATTAGAGTTTCTGACTACGTTTCAGGGGGCTAAGTGTAATTATCGATACCACAGGGACCTTACAGTTATTTAAGCTTACCTCAGGGGGGTGTGTGTAATTTACCCTAAAAAAAATAAAGAAAAAATATAGATGGGAATAATACAACCAAAAACTTCACCTATTAATGAAATATATCACTTAATATTAATATCTCCAATATGTTCCCTCAAGTGCAGACGAATTACATTTAAAACATTGCACTTGAAATATAATATTATCTTGGGTCATTCAAACTACCGACCCATTTTTTGCCCGATAAAACCAGTTGCCAAGCATTATTCGACCCATAATGATCGGCGCAATAATAATTTCAATATTCACCAAATTGATTGGTCGGGTCGGTTAGATAATTTGCCGATAATTACACGACCCGACCCATGTCCAATCCTAATTAAAAATATGAAACAAAACAAAATCCCAATGATATGCATTCAAAACAATTAATAGTTTTGAAGCATAATTTATGTTTGAGGATACAATCATACAACTTGTGTTCTAGAATATATCTTGTATTCCAAGTAGGATTGTGTTTCACGAGACATCAAGTGATTTTGAACTGATGAGCGTATAAATTATATAAAATTGTGAACTTTTTTAACCATCGCTCTGAGTCTGATGCGTGAAGATTTAATTAAGTTTATATAATATGATAATCCGGATTTGGGTGTTTAAAATAATAATATTATATTTATTGTTTAGTTTTGAAAGATGGTTCGTAGAAAATTTTGAAAATAGTATTGTAGACCGTAGTACAACTGTAGAAGTAAGCAAATACGCATTGCACGTGAGGTGAGAGCAGGAAGAAGAAGAAACAGGCAAGAAGTCACGTGCGCCCATGCCCTGCCACTCTGCTTGGGCGGTTCGCGTGCGGTGGGGGCCATCTCCCCCCTTTATGCTTTTCTGTGTTGTTGCTTCTTCCCGTCTCTAGTTAACACCGTCAACGGGGCCGTCAAATTGGGAATTTTTTTTTTATTTAAATACATGAGAAATACAGTTATAATAAGAAAATATATACTAAGATAATAAAATTTAAGGGTGATTACAAATAAGTCCATCAATGGATACTTATTCATAGAGAGATCAAGACAAGAAATTCCTTTACAAATAAGTCCACACATGGTTTAGATTTTTGTAAAAGACTAAAATAGCCCCTCATACTTTATTATGCTCCAATTTCATCCTTAATTCTAATTTGACCTCAATTTAACCCCAAATTTCACAAATTATTCAATTTTGACCAACAACTTTTTTTTTCAAAACAATTTTATTTTGCCGCCGGATTCCGGCGTTGACTTTTCAATTTTTTTTATTTTCTTTTTCTTTCTTTCTGTAATATTTTTTTTCGTTTAAACAGCAATATTGCTGTGATTGACAGTAATATTAACTATATTACTGTTAAACACAGTAAAATTAACTAAACTACAGTTTAACACAACAATATTGTTAAATTAATTTCTAGCACAGTAATATTAACACAACAAAACTCATTATTATTGTGTAATAGAATAATATTACTATGTTGACCACTCAACAAATGTAAACATAATAAAAAGCCAAAAGAATTAATATTATTGTGAGTGACAGTAATATTACTATAACAACAGTAATATTACCGTTAACTACAGTAATATTACAATAATAGACAGTAATATTATTACGTTACTCCGTGAATAACTAAAATAAACAAAAAAATCCAAACAAAATAATAATATTGATGTGGTTGACAACAATATTACTGTAATATTACCGTCAACCACAGTAATATTATTGTGTTTACAGTAATATTACAATAATAGACAGTAATATTGTTACGTTACTCCGTGAATAACTCAAACAAAACAAAAAACCCAAAAAAATAATAATATTGATGTTGTTGACAGTAATATTATTGTGTTTACAGTTATTTTACTGTCAACGATAGTAATATAATTACGTTGACTTGTCAACAAATCAAACAAAATAAAAAAAATAACAAAAAAAAAAATAAATAATAATAATACGTTAATTTACTGTCAACGACAGAACAATTACATAAATGTATTGTCAACGGCAGTACAATTACGTTAATTAATTGTCATTGACAATATGATTACGTTAATTTACTGTCAGTAACAGCACAATTACAGTCAACGTTTAGCGGCGGACGTAAAAAAAATAGAAAAAAAAACTAAAAAAAACACTAAAATAAGTCAACGCCGGAATCCAGCGGCGAAAAAAAAAGTCAACGCCGGAAACCGGCGAAAAAATTCGGAAGGAAAAAAATATCGAAAAGTCAACGCCGGAATCCGGCGGCAAAAACAAAATTGAAAAAAAGTCATAATTGAATTTTTGTGGTCGATATTGGACTTTCGTCGACAAATTGATTAAATTGGGGGTTACAATTAAGAGTTGGGTATCAAGGGTTGGGGGTAATATTGTCATATACATGAATGTTTCCTTTATTTATAATAAATATTAAAGGGATGAGCTTATTGGTGAAAGAGATATAACCCCTAAACTTAGAATAATAAAGATGTTTGGTTGGGGACTTATACACAAAAACCCCTAAAATTTATTATTGATATTTAAGAGCAACTCAAATGCTAAATATCAAAATTGGATTGTCAAATACTCATTTGATAATGAAGATAATATTTTAATATCCATTTATAATTTATCTTCTCCAACCATGGTTATCAAAATTAATAATCAATTGGAAGTTTTTTAGTGGTTTTATTTATAATTGCCATGTCATTTTGTGATTGAATGTTTAGGAAGTTATTTTTTTTGATAACTCAAGTTTTATGATGTAATTTTACATTAAAAGAGGTAGAATATCAAAATACTTACCCATTTTGATACTCCCATTGGAGTAAAAAAAAAAAAATTAGGATATCAAAAGGTGGTTTATGGATTTGATAATCCATTTGATACTCCCATTGGAGTTGCTCTAAGTTACAACATCCATACAAATTTGATAATACAAACTCACTCTGCAAAAGATTATATAAACTTAAGGGTAAATTACACCCACACCCTTTAGGTATGCTTAAATAACTTCAAGGTCCCTGTGGTATCGATAATTACACTCACCCCCTTAAACGTAGTTAGAGCAATTCCAATGCTAAATATCAAAATTGAATTATCAAATATTTATTTGATATTTGAGATAATATTTTAATGTTGATTAAAATTCCTCTACTCCAACCATGGTTATCAAATTAATTGTCAATTGGAAGTTTATGGGTGGTTTTATTTCTAATTGTCACATGTCCACTTTTGATTGGATATTTAGATAGTTACACTTTTGATAACTCAATTTCCAGCAAGTATTTTTACATCCCAAAAGTTGAATTATCAAAACAGACCCTAATTTGATAACCCCATTGAAGTTAAAAATTTCTATTTTTTTGTGTATAAATAGTGGTTAATGGTTTGAATACCATGTTTAATAACCCCATTGGAGTTGCTCTTAGAAACTCTAACGGGGTAATGCATTGGATACATTATTCCGATAGAGTTCTAATGGACTATTACTTTTAGCTCGTGGTGGAGATAACATAGAGTTATGGGGAGTTATGGGGTGACATGGCTCCCCCAATATTTCTTAAATCACCCATAAATCTCTGTTGTCTCCACACTTCCTGAAACCAATAGTCCGTTAGAACTCTACCGTAATAACGTATCCAATGCATTATACCATTAGAGTTTATAACTACGTTTGAAAGGGGTGAGTGTAATTATCAATACCACAGGGACCTTAAAGTTATTTAAGTATACCTTAGGGGTGTCGGTGTAATTTAGCCTAAAATTAATTATAATAAAATAAAATTGATCGTTAAAGAAATGAAGGAAATATAAAGCCAAAATTTAAAGAAAACATAAAAAGGAAACGTATAAATATAATTAGAGATATATTGTTGAAAAATAAGAAATTGATGTTAAAAAAATTCTACACGGTTTGATTTGAATTTTAATTTTTTGAATTATAAATTAGTAGAGAAAAAAATAATTAAAAAATTTATAATTACAAAAATGCGATATTTATTATAAAAATAAGATTACTACTTCATTGTAAATGGAATTTGTATTACTATGAATAAAGTAACTCACTTTTCATTTTAAAGATATAAATCATATATGAAAATAAAATATAGGGTTTAATATACTTAGGTCCCTTCTACCAAACTTAATTAGAACTAAATGACAATCTCAAACTAATTTTTTTAAATATACCTCTATTTTAAATATAATATGACCCATATCCTTAATTTATTTTGTATCCTTAATTTGTCCTTATACTCTAAATATAACATCTATTTACGTTTCTCCAAACTAGATTTGTTTCTCTTTTTCAATTATTTATCTCTTTCTCTCACTTCTCTACCTCTCTCTCGCTCTCCTGCTTGCTCTCGCTTTATCTCTCTCTCTCTCAATTATGGTGGGATGGTTATGGCGGCTATATTGCTATGGAGGTTGTTATGGGGCTGGTCACTGCTGCATTTTTCAGATCGGATCTTGATGTGGGGCGGCGGTAGTTCTGGTTGTTGGGGGCAGTGGTGCTTTTGGTCGATGGCGACGGCGGTGATTTCCTCCGGCGGTAGCGGTGCTTTTGGTCGAAATTTGATGTATGGGTTTGGAGGGAAAGGAAATGCTAATTAAGATGGAGAGTGAGACGAAGAGGAAGAAGGAGAAATGTTGGAGGATTATGGGCAGATTCGTAGATCCGTTTTCATAGTTGGAGGTAGTGTTGTATCTATGGTTTCATATTGGATGAGTACGAATGACTACGGTTGTCTACGGATTACTGGATGTCTACGAAAT